GCCACTCTACCAAAGCATGGCGAGGATGAAATATGACATAGAATAGCATAAATTACAGCTGTAAAACAGCATGAAATATGGTCCCGAAACATGCAAATATGGCACACAATGCAAGCTAGGGGGCCCGGGTACCGAAACTAGTGAAGTGCGTTACACTAGAGGTACCCAAAGCAATGCACCAAAGGCAAAACCAACCCCCAAAAGACCCTAGGTAGGTTTGAAACGATAGGAAATTGACCTAAAATGATGACTCGGAATGCAACGAAATGGAACTCATTCACTGGTCGGTAAAAGGGGTATACAAGCCCGACTCTCAAACGTATTTAAAGAGATGAAAACATGGTAACATGGCATTCAAACAGGCTCTAAACTGTGATGAATAATAGGCTTAAAACATGAACACACCTCAGTATATGCATGGAATGGATCTCAAAACTCAAAGCTAAGCATGGACCTTGAACTACAAGCATGCAAAACAAACATCATTCAATCATGAGACCCAAAAACAGAGCTAGTGCAGTCCAAAATAAGCACAATATCAGTTTATGACATGGCCAAAAAGTGCTAAAATCAAGGGCCCACAAAGCATGCAAAGAAAGCTAGTGAACCATGAGTTGTTCTACAACTATATGAAGCATATGAAAGCTCATTAAACCAGCCAAAAACAGATGTATGCCATGCCAAAATATGCCCAAATAACCACTGAAACTCAGTCAATGCATGCAAAAATGATGAGCTCCTTTGGAGGCCATGCAAGGGGTTACTCTACACATACATGATAGACAAACAAAAGGGCAAAACCACCTCTAGAAATGAGTTATGACAGCCCTAAAACCCACCAAAAAGAGCCTGAAATTGGTCTAGGAAGCATGCAATGAAAGGTCCCTTTGGAAGGCCTTGAATGGGATTGTTTTACACAAGCATCATAGACATAAAATATGGCCAAAGGGGCTCCGGACAGAGCTAAGGCAGACCTCAAAACTCGCAAAATAGGGCCTGAAATAAGACTTCAAAGCATGCAAGATGGAGCCACTTTGGAAGGCCAACAATGTTAGTAAAGAGAACAAGGGGTGAGAGGGTCACCCCTCTCTGATTTTGAAGCTCAAAAGCACATCTAAGCCACTGAAAATCCACTAGATTTCAGTGACTAAAAGGCCAAACCAAGGCCAATGCGAATGCTCAAATGCAAGGCTCAAAACATGAGGAAATGAAGCATGAAAAGGGGAAGATGACCACAAACATGTTTAGAAGATCAAAACAAGACTTTTTCTAGTTTATGGCAAATCTCGAAAATGCTCACAAGTAGGGCTAAGATATGTTGCAAAATAAGCCTACGAAGAGAGATAGAGCATACAAGGAGGTAGATGGCCTCAAACAAAAAAGTGTCCTTAATCAAACTCCAAGAGGAGCTCAAAAGAAGACACTTTTCAGTTTATGACAAAGTCCATAAATGCTTGCAAATAAGGCTAATCAATGGAGCAAAATAATACAAAAATGGGAGAAACAGAGACTCACCCTTGTAGACAATGACTCCAGCAGCTTCTGGACCAAGGAAGGAGTTCTTTAACTTATGAAAATCAGCTCCAAGATGCTTGGATGGATGGTGGAGGTGGTAGGCTATGAGGTGTAGTGCAAATGGTGCAAGAATATTAGGGTTTGGAGCTTTAAAGAAGAAGGCTATGGAGGGTGGAGTGTATATGCCTTGGCTAAACTTTTTAACCCTTGAAAATGGAGGGGGAATGTTGGTTTTATAGAGAAGAGCCAAGGATTCTTGGAGAAGCCTTAAGAGGGGTTCAAAGCTTCTCAAAGAAGCTTAACCAAAAGGGTCAAGCTTCTCCAAGAAGCTAAGCAAGGGGGTCAAAACCAACTAAAAAGGATCAAAAAGATGGTCAAAGTCTTGGACAGTGGGTCAAATGCTTCACAGTTGGCACAGCTGTGTTGCACTTGAGAAGAGCAAAAAGCAGAAAGCTGGCCGACCAGCTTAGGTGGTCGGCCGGCCACTCTCCCTGGGCGGCTGTCCAGGGGTCAAAAGGTTCAAGGAGAAATGCTGGCCGGCCACCCCAGAAAGGTGGCCTCCCAGATGAGTACAACACAACTGTATGGTGGAAAACCAAAAAATGTGACCCAAGAGAGAGAAAAACCAGCTTTTTAGCAAGGTTCAAAAGGGTCAAGAAGAATTACTAGTTGGCCTACCCATATTGGTGGCCTCCCAGATGAGCACAACACAATAGTGGTATGAAAAGCCAGAAGTTGTGGCTCAAAAGTGAGAAAAACTAGCTTTTTGTCAGAAAAAATCGGCTTTAGGAGAGAGAAAAAAGAGAAAACTGGTTTCCAAGGGGAAAAGGTGGCCTCCCACCATACTACCACCTCCCTAACAATGAAAATAGGGTCCTCACCAAAAATGGACCAAGACGAATGCAAAACGAGGGTTTGGGGGCCACAACGCGCAGTCCGAGGCCCCAAAAACAGGCTGTTAGGCACCGGAAGTGGCATATGACCACGAAGGTGGTCTCCCGGGCCACAGTGTCCCTCTAAAGGGAGGGAATAAGGTGTGTACCAAAAGCCGGAGCAAACGGAAGTAATTAAGCATTCCCGAACCAAGGCACACGGCCGACGGCTCCGAAAACCAGAAACTGGGCTCCAAACGGGAAAAATGGCCTACGACCACGAAACGTAGCCAATGGCCATTGAGAGATGGTCTACGAGACCACTCCCTCCCTTCGGGAAGAGAAAATAGAGAAAACAGGACCTAGTTCGCAAACCGAGGCAAAGCACAAAAGAGCCCCGAAGTCCGAAGGCAAGGCTTGCAGCTGAGACTTCGCAACCTCAGAACGAGCACAATATGCAACATCACCGAGCACTCAGTTGGTAACGTCTGAGTCTTAAGGTCGGTCAAAAATGAGGTGTCTACAACATGAAAATCTGAATGGGCCAAAGGCCAGTTTGATAAATGGAAGATAAATGGGTCAAAGGCCAGTATGTTTGGAACCATAGTCACTTGACTTAAATTGTGTACATATATATGTTAAATAGAAATATGAATTGGGCCCAAGGCCATTTGAAGCATGTTGTTCTACGTACCATTTGTATAACTCTTTTATTTGATATTATTCACTAGGCTATCGCTCATGCTCGTTCATGTGTTTGTAGGTGAGCTAGGAGAAGTCCAAACCCAGCCCCAGTGAAGTATGTGCGGAACAACAAAGGTTTTGAAGAGTCAGCCCTTACGTCTCACGCACGAGACTCGTTTTCGCCTTTTTGCCATTTTGTTTTATGTTGTCATGTTGGCGAAGCCTTTGAACATGTCTGTATATCGTTTTCATGGGTTGACTTAGTTTTTAATGATCCTGTCTGTACAAAACTTTATGGTACTGTACTTTCTGTTGTGAGTTATTAACATATGTATGTATGGAATGTTATGATATGCATATAAGCACAGCTCTATGGACAAAATTTTTAAATTTGCTTCCGTTTGGCCCCTTTACTCTGATGAGTTTTGTCTTATTTGGTTTGAGACCGTAGGTAATCTCGTGATTATTGGCCGGTTATGGCCTTAACCCATAGGGCGTGGGTTTGGGTCATGACAAAAGTGCACGTTCGTGAGTTAGCACATGAAACTTTAATGACACCTTGGTAGCTCATTCGGTCTACGACACCTAAAAATAACATAATTCTATCCCAAACTTCACATATATAAAATAATGCATAGTTTTGACATTAGGTCTCGTTTGGGAACCCTCTTTTTTAGCAAAAAAGTTACTAAATTAGCCAAAAAGCCAACAAGCCATACCAAAAAGTCAAAGATTCTCGTTTCTCTCTACTTTTTGCACATCTTTTCGTAAAAAGTTAAAAAGTCATCCTAAACATATTAGTTTTTTTTAGCTCATATTTTAGCTAAATAGCCAAAAAGTTACTAAATTATCCTGTTCCCAAACGAGGCATAATGTCTTTCTATGACACCATTTATGAGACTGTCAAACCTACGTGTAGACGAAATCTAACGGGCTAGCTCTAAGTGCTATGCAATTTAAAAAAAATGAAAGGGAAATTAATATAATTATGATAAAATTAAGAAATTAATTGTAATTTTTACAAATTTGAATGAAGGAAAGTGGCATCGTGTATAGTCAAAGATCAAGTGTTACAAACTATTCCACACCGTTGATTAAATTGGGAGTACAATTCTGTTTTCAGTAAATAAATTTATTTATTAGTTTGATTTGTTTATGTTTTTCTTATTGTACATAGAAAATTGTTCTAACACTAATATCCTTTTACAACATTATTTATGAGACTTTCAAACCTGCATATAGATGAAACCTAATGGGTTTGATTAAGGGCTATTTTGAGAACCACCTAAATCAGTTAAAAAGTCAACTATTTTCTCTATTTTTTTACATGTCTTTTTGTAAGAAGTTAAAAAACCAACCAAAATAATCATTTTCCAAAATAACCCTCAAATGTCATGCAAAACATTTTTTAAAAAACACTTTTCAGAAAATTCTACTTTCTTATTTTTCGTATTTTTTTTTTGTTTTTACTGAATTTTTTTTAATATTTTAAACAATTTTTTTTTTTACTTTTTAGACACACCTAACATAAATACACCTAAAAAATAAAAAAATTGTAAAAAAAATCTTTTAAAAATTCACTAAATACTAAAAATATATAAAAAATACAAGAATTCAGTATGTTTTTTTATATTTTTATATATTTATTAATTTTTTAAAATATTTTTTCACAATTTTTTTACTTTTTAGATACATCTAAGTAAGGTGCATCTAAAAAAGTAAAAAATATATTTAAAATTTAAAACATATTCATTAAAAATAAAAAAATACGAAAACTAAAAAAACCAATTTTCAAAAACTTAATCTAAAAAACTCGAACCAAACACACTATGCAATTATGATAAAATTATAAATTTGAAGGGAGGTATCGTGTACAATGAAAGATCAAGTGTTACACACCATCCCACACCGTTGATCAAGCTGGGTGTACAAGATAGTCAGCAACACCCTCATTGAGAGAAAGAATGTGTGTATTATGCTCTGCCAACGAAGAGTGACCGTATAGCTTGGACTGGCAGGTGATGGTTTCAATTGCGTTCCTTCCATCCTTCTATCAGTCATTGCCATGGTATATATAATATATTTTTGTAGACATACATACATATATAGACATGTATGTTCATTCATAGGAATCGAAATTGAAATCTAAGATCGGAAATTGCTCGATTCAAAGTGTCCAACACTGGGGAGCCTCTATTTTCTTTGGTTTTTGTTTTTTTGCGCCACAATCATCAGATTCAGATGAACAATCCACTGCCCAGTGAGAAAACCCTAGAATTGTTGTTGCGGTCATGTATACTGATAATTTGATAGGGTTCATTCTTGCTGTTGCTTCTAGCGCCTTCATCGGATCCAGCTTCATTATCAAGAAGAAGGGTCTCCAGAGGGCTGGAGCTTCGGGCCCTCGTGCCAGTAAGTAGCGAAATTTTTGTGATTCATTGGTAATTTTAACCCTATCCCTAATTTTCCCAGCTCTTGTTTGGCTAATTGGATGCATAATTTATACACTACCTCTGTTTTGCATACTGTACATAATGCACATTGTAAGGGGTTATGTTAATTCATTACAATTAGAATTAATGGAGGTAGCATTAATGGGTTTGCATTATTAGCCTTCTTGTATGTGGGATTAATGGAGGTAGCATTTTGAAAGGTAGAGACAAATTGCTTAGAGGGTAGTTGGGTTTTTTTGGTTGTTGTAGAAGGATGGATATGTTGCAAGATCTTATATGAAAATGAGGTGGGGGGGTTTTACTATCTGACTTGGAATTATCCCCCCAAATAGGTTAGTAGCTACATTAGTAGCAGCTTGGCATGGTATTGGGCAGTGTTATATGAACTCTTCTATTCTTACCAGTGCCCGTGTCCATTGGATGCAAGCTTGAATCCTTTACTTCTATAATAAGAAGCTTACACTTGTAGTGAAGCAAAGTTTATAGCCTCTGACATGGACGAGAGCTATCTTTCACACTAGTGATTTAAAAGACTCTAGGTGCATTGAGGCGATAAGGTCTCCTATAACCTAAGCACAGGGCGCACACCTCACCAAAGCGAGGCGCATAGTAGAAGGAAAGCAAAATTATAAAATAGACAAACTTTTGAACATAGCAAATATATATAGAATTTCAAAAATCATAAAGCAAGTTTCACCATTTCAAATAATTGATAAACATAACATTCAATCTTCTAAAAACTAGAAATATAATATCCTGCATTGGTTGCATTAAAAGAAACAGAGGAGAAACAAGCCAACTTTTTTGCATGCACAACTTCACAAGTATAACAGAGAAGAAAAAATATAGAGATAACCCGACAAAGAAGCAGGAGAAGAAGAGAAGAATAAAATAAAATAAGAAAAAAAGAAGAGAAGAAAAATAAAGAAAGGAAAAATTAAGGCAAACCCAACGAAGAGAACCCATTGAAGTAGAGAAGAAAGAAGAAGGAAGAAAAAACAGAGGCAGAGAGATAACCCAATCAAGAGAACCTATTGAAGAAGAGAAAAAGAGAACCAATGAAGAAGAAGAAGAAGAGAAGAACCTGAAGAAGAAGCCTAAGTCGTGCTGTCTTCTCACTTTTTGATCGCTTTTTTTAATCTACTCTACCTAGGTTTTCTTTTTTTATTATTTATTTTATTTATTTATTTATTTTTCTTGTTCTCTTTTGACTATGTTTGGTCATTTTATATTGAAGATTTTGATTCTCTATGGGTATGCCCACAAAAAAAGCACTCAATCAACAGTTGGAGTAGAAAAATAGGTAAAGGCCATGAAGCTCACGCCTCACATCTCGCGCCTTGAAAGAATCCCTCGCCTTATTGCCTAAGTTGCGCCTTGCGTATTGCACCTCGCCTCGACTTGTTTGAAGTGCAAGGCTGTGCCTCGTTGTGCCTTGTGCTTAGGCGCGCGCCTTTTAAAACATTGTTCCACACTCTTCTATTTCTCTCAAAGTACCCGTGTCCACCAGATTTGACAATGATGAGGGTGTTGGGATATGTGTTCCACACTCATACCCCATTTAGACATTTGGATCCTCTATTTTTTTTACGATATTTGAAGAAGAAACTCACATTTTTTAATAAAGAAACATTATAGCCTTTCACATGGATGAGAGAAAGAAATTTATTTTCCTTAAATTCTTTTTAAATTTATACGTAATTTACAACATCTTATATGAGATTATTAATTAATATGCAATATATATAAGTGTTCACGACACATTCTTGTACTGATATTCAAGTTTTGGATACATGTCATAAGATTTAGATTTATGAAGATTTAATGCTTAGACATGCACTAGCACCCACACCCACACTCACACACTCTCGCCTAATCCCTGTTCTTGAGTCCATGTTACATAGGTCTTAGTTGTGGAAATTGGGAACCATGGTTAATAACAATGGGAAATTTTAATATGGTACATTTAATTCTTTAATTTGTCATAAGTCAATGAGTAGTCAGTAGGACTTGTAAAAAGGATAACTGATGATGAAAACATTGAGGTAAAGTCTTGCAAATTATAGGAGGCGTTCTTGGTATATTGGTAGTACACATTATCTATACATACAAAAAAATCAATTTAATGAGTTTTAATTTCTCTGAACTTGTTAAAATTTTCATACACATTCCTAAGTCTTAAATGCTAAAATATTAGTTCAATTTGCTTTTTTTATTTTTATTTTTATAAATAAACAAACTTTATTAGAAAAGCATCAAGGCGATGCAACGAAAGTACATATTTGCTTTTAGTTCAATTTGCTTTTCAAGACCTTGATACTAAAAAGTACATATTTTCTCAATGTGCCCATCACTTAGTTCAACCTAACATGGGAAGTCTCCATGGGAAACCAATCCCCAAGGACTTTTCAAACCTTGTCTAATTCATATATATTCATTTGATTTCTTTGTAATGGTGAATTGTTTCTTAAATGAAGATTCAGGAGGATATGGTTATTTGCTGCAGCCACTTTGGTGGATTGGCATGGTCACTAGTAAGTCTTGCATTGCTGAAATTTCTAAAATATTGTGTTTAGCTGTTGGTTCTAAAAGAGTGTTAAACTCTAGTTTCTTCAATTTTGGCAGTGATTATTGGAGAGTTAGCCAATTTTATTGCTTACATTTATGCTCCTGCTGTGCTTGTTACACCACTTGGAGCATTAAGTATAATTGTTAGGTAAACCTGAAATATTCTTGTTTTTGATAGGTCCATATTTTCAGTTTTAATGAGCATTTGAAGCATTACACAATGTGGGCTTATGTTTATTTCATTGTCAGTGCTGTTCTTGCACACTTCTTATTAAAGGAGAAATTGCAAAAAATGGGCATACTAGGGTGTGTTTTGTGCGTAGTTGGGTCTACCGTGATTGTACTTCATGCACCAACTGAACACAGTATAAGTTCAGTGGAAGAAATCTGGGAATTAGCAACACAACCAGGTAAATTGATGTACTTCAATTGCTATTTATTTGATTACTATTTCTAGTTTATTTCTCTTGATACTTTTGATTTGATTTGTTTTGTTTTGTTTTTTCCAGCTTTTCTTTTGTATGCGGCCTCAGCAGCAGCTGTGGTGTTGGTGCTAGTGTTGTACTGTGAACCACGCTATGGGCAGACAAACATAATGGTTTATGTTGGGATATGTTCAGTAATTGGATCTTTGACGGTAAGTATCCTTGTATTCTTCAAATCCCCCCTTCTCCCGTTTAGTAACCCCCATAAAAATTTACTGTAGGCGAGGGCCAGACCCTGACAGGGGAAATCATACAAAAATAGCTGAAGGCCCAGTGGGCCACTTAACATCCAGTTTTTCGCTTGAGCATGTCCCAAAAGCTTAAGCTGATAGGAAATGAGCCTAACAATGTATATTAAGTTATCTAACACCCTTACTCATGTGCAACTTGTCTTGTATGTGATGCAAACATCCATACATAGAGAGAAAAAAGAATGTCAATGAGAGACAAAAAATGCAAACAGGGACCAAATATAAAAGGAGAAACTTTAACCCAAGACCTGTTGAATTAGGAAATTAGAATATTTTGTTTATAATCCGTGATTGTATGAATCACGGATTTAGTGCCTTAATAGTTTTATTTCCTTGTTTGTAATATGGATTCATTGTATATACATGGCTCTACCTCATTCAAAGGGCTGCCTATTTCTTTCAGTGAGAATAATAGGCTTCCAGGCAGATCTATTTGGACACTAGACAAATTTCTTTTTTCTCTAGGAGGACATTGAAGACATTCAAGTGGTTCGTCCTACTTTGTCATCAATGGGCAGCCATTTTTTTCCCCTTTGAATGAGGTAGAGCTATGTATATATAATGAATCCATATTACAAACAAAGAAATAAAACTATTAAGGCACTAAATTCGTGATTCATATAATCACGAATTTTATACATATTACTATAAACGAAATATTCTAATTTCCTAATTCAACACTCCTCAAGCTGGCATGAAGACATTTAACAAATGTAGTTTAGCAATGGATGATTGGAGCAGAGTTGGTCCCACGAACTTTGTGAACATGTTTGCTAACTGTTGTGAACAAGAGATAAACGATGAACTCACAATACCAGTCTGAACCTTTTCTCTAATAACATGTATATTAACCTCGATATGCTTGGTACGCTCATGAAGCACAGAATTAGAGGATAACATAATGGCAGATTTGTTGTCACAAAATAAAGAGGAAGGAGTAGTCTCCTCAATACCCAACTTTCCCATAATAGAATGAAGCCATGGAATCTCACATGTTCGTTGTGCCATAGCTTGATACTTAGTCTCTACAGAAGACCTAGAAATAACTGCCTACTTCTTACTTTTCCATGATATAAGATGATCACCATAGAAAGTACAAAAGCTAGAAGTAGAACGCCGATCAGTCTTAGATCCTGCATAGTCAGCATCAATGAAACAGGAGAGCTCAGATTGAGGGCCATTTGTGAAGAACAGTCCTAAGTCAAGAGAAGTCTTCAAATACCTCAAAATGTGATGAACCGTGTCAAGGTGCTTTATATGGAGTGCATGCATAAACTGACTCACAACACTAACCGCAAATGTCAAGTTAGGCCTAGTGTTGGTCAAATATATGAGACATTCAACAAGACGCTGATATGTGCCTAGATCGTCCAGCAACTTGCCAGACTCTGATGTAAGCTTGACATTAGGATTCATAGGAGTAGAAGTAGGCTTACACCCTAACATACTAGTAACCTTAAGCAAGTCATGAGTGTACTTCTTTTGAGATAAGGAAATCCCCTATCTTGAGTGAGCCACCTCAATTCTTAAAAAATATTGGAGACATCCCAGATCCTTAATATCAAAAGTTTGGCCCAAGTACTGTATTTGACCAATGCTGACAGAATCATTGCTTGTGAGAATAATGTCATCCACATAAACTAACAAGATGACACACTGACCTGCAGAGTTACGGCAGATGAAACAAGTATGATCTGAGTGGCACTGAACAAAGCCCATAGAGATGATGATAGAACTGAAGTGACCAAACCATGCTTGTGAAGATTGTTTCAGATCATGCAAAGATTTGCGTAACCAGCAAACCTTCCCTAAATACTTTCCCTCAGCCCGAAAATCGGGTGGAGGAGTCATCTAAATTGTCTCAAGAAGATCCTCATGAAGAAACGCATTCTTGACATCAAGCTGATGAAGAGGCCAAGAATGTGATGTTACAAGAGAGAGATGGAGACACAGAAGTAAGATGATAGGACATTCTTGACACCATGCTCATGGAGATTGTTTCCCCAACCTAAGTTCTGATACCATGTTAAGCAACCAATTGTGCCAAAAGCTTAAGATGGTAGGACATGGGCCCAACAATGTATAAATAAGTATATTAAAGAAAAATGTTAGATGGGGTGCAACCTTGTACACAAAATATAGAAAGGACTATACCAAAAAACTTCTATTCCCATTTATCTATAGGATGTACAAATCTCCCAAAAACTCTACAAAAGTATACAACGAGAAGGACACCTGCAGGCTGTACCATTCACTTCAAGGCATTAATAAGCACTCCATTTCATCAAAAGATTTCATATTCCTCTCTTTCCACATGAACCACATCAAATGTAAAGGAGTTGCATCCCATGCCTTCCTATATCTTTCCCTCAGGAAACCATTTGCGCCAGTTATTTAACTTAGACACGGACACAGGATGCAGATATGACATGACATAAACACATTGACATAGCATAGACAGTGCATGCATTGATGTATTTATATATATATATATATATATATTCTTATATGTAATGTATAATGAAATTATGATTGGATTAATTATCTAATTATGAGGTAATTGCCAACCTTGTTGTTGTCCAATAGCCATTCTAAGTGGGGCTTGTCTGTAAGTGAAAGGAGAAACTCAATTAAGAAAAATTCATATTCACCTTGAGATAGTGCATTAGCCTCCATTGACCTTGAAGTATTTTTCATATGTAAAACATGAAATAAGAAGATCCACAAATAATGCATAACTAATGCTTGATTTTTACATTTTAATTTTTTTTGATTATTATGTGTTTTTCCTATGTTGTAATTGTCTTATTGCATACTTTGTATTCATCATATGTATGATGTCTTCTTCATAAATGTTTTAAGGAACATATGGGGTGTGAGCCGCATTCTTGAGGATGTCAGACTCACACTTAATGACACATTTGTCACATTGGTCGTGTTGAGGAGTGTTAGAGAATGTCTTTAAAGCATATGAAATTATGAAAGTTCATTTTTACATCCGGACACACCCAAAAGTGTTGGACATATTTCTAGGCATTTTGAGTATTGCTAATGTCTGGTAAGGATACGGCTCCTTAGAAGTGTATGTGCTACTTTGCACATTAGAGTGCCCATCTCTCCCAACTATGTGATGTAGTCTTGTTAAAAAAAAAAAAAAAAAAAAAATGGAATTGAAAATCTTAGGCATCATTTTATTTTTTATTTATCATAAGAAAATAGGGGAACATTTCCTTTTCTTTTCCCTCTTCTAAATCTAAGATTTTTTTCTTTTAATTCTTATGTGACCATGTAGAACACTTGCTCATTATACAAATTTGTTTTTATTCTTAAATTTAAATTTTATTCCCACTTTAGTAATTGTGTGACAGTTGTGATGCAGAGCTTTCTTGGTGTTCTTTTGCAGGTTATGAGTATAAAAGCAATAGGGATTGCCATAAAGCTCACATTGGAGGGTTCAAGCCAGGTAGCACACTTCCAAACATGGGTTTTCGCAATGGTAGCACTTACGTGTATAATCACTCAGTTGAATTACTTAAATAAGGTCAGTTCACTTTCTTCTTATTCGTTTTCTCTTTTCAATATTTCTAAAGGTGGTACTAAAACGATGCAAGACTTTAAAGCATACTAATGTATTTTTTTTTTCCTTTTTTTTTTTCTCCTTCTATTTAGAGATAGCAACTTGGTGGATAATGTGGTGATAGTGTACACAAAATTTCTGTAAGAAATCCAAAAATCACTACAAGCTGATGATTGAATTAACAAAAGTTTAAAATCAATGATTTAGACAACATTGCACTAGGTTGGGCAGCACCGTAGTTGTATGTCAGTAAATATTTAAAAAGTGATTGTATGGCTTCATAGTCCCCACATGTTATGATATGATGATAATGCAGGAGGAGATGATAAAATCTTAGTGTTTGTCTTATAAATTACCTATTGTCTGGGTTTGGGAGAAATCATTTAGAGTTGCATTATCGCATATTATGAGAAGAATGTAATCTTAAATACTCTATGGCTTTGTTTGGTTCTATTCTCAAATCATGATTCAACCCTCATATTTCAATCCTCTGTTTGATTATAGTTTTCAAAATATGATTCCAAATCACATTTTAAGAAACATTTGAAAACATGTTTGGTAAACCAGAGAGTTTTTGAATTTTGGGTCTATCTGGTCGTCTGCCTGGACATCCTCCCCGGATGTCTGGCTGGTTGACCGGAACAGTGTTTTTTTTTTGTTTTTTTGGCAATTGCTGCCTGTTATTTGGAAAAAAGAAAATTATATTTGTTTTTAATATTTTTTAAATATAGAATTTTTTTTAAGACCAAAATGACAAATTATTTGGCCATTTATTTAAAATTAACAAAAATAAAAATAAAATAATAATTAATTTGTCACAGTAATTTTTTAAAAATAAAATAATATTTTTAAACAAAACAATTAAAAAAAAATTTCTAGTCAAATATACAATCAAAAGTAATTTTAAAGCACTAGAAGCATATTGTTTTTAACAAAAAATAATATATATATTTTTAATATTTTAAATAAAAAAAATATTTTCGGAATTTTTTGATTTTTTAAATAATTTTTTTTTTTCAATAATTATTTTTTTGAATTGAATTTTAAAAAGAGTTTGGTTGTGAGTTTTGAATAGAATTTTCAATAGAGTTTTGAGTTGTGTGTTTGGTTGTGAGTTATAAGTTTTTGAATTAAGTTTTGAAAACTATTTTCAAAACTCATAACTAAATAACTTTTCTTATTTTAAAGCTCATTTCAAAATTTCAAAACTCAATTCAAAACTTTTTTTAAAACTCATAATAAAACAAATTTTCTCTTTTCAAACCATGATTCAACAACTCATAAACTCAAAACACAACTCCATTCTCAATTCATGATTCTAAAACTAAACCAAACGCAACCTATGTCTATTTTGTTGGATATTTAACATGGTTGAAGGTGAACACAAGGGCATTGAGTTCCTAGCACATCAGGTCCATATGTGTTTGTGTAATTCTAGTTGTGATCACAGGGAACTCAATTCTAAACCCACCAAACCGATCACATATAACATCTTTGTCTAATGGATGCCTTGCCCGCATGGGACACCCAACCCAACTACTCTTTCTATAATCAAAATAGAGCCTGTCTTTCCTTTGTTGTCTTATAAATGTTAGAATAGCACTAAACGAGTCCTTTTAACACTTGTCCACATATGATCGCCTTCTCGTATTCTCTATATGCCTTGAGAAATTGTTATGTAGTCTTCCACTCTGTTTTTGCGACTTTGTGATAGGTCATGTCACCGCATTAGTGTCCTAACTTATTTTTTCTCAACATCATTGAGTACCTGATAAAAAGTGAAAGATACAATTGGACAGTTATGACATTCAAAACAATAGTAATTTTGACACATCATATGACACATGATGCATAAATGCTGGACATGTAAGAGACATGATGCATATATTTTTTGACAAATCTTTATAAATAGCAAGTTATTAAATTCATTTATTATTATAGTCTTGAAGGTTGTTAAAAGTTGAATTAAGGCATTTACAGGTTACTGTCTTTTTTGTGTTGGGATTTTTCTCCCCCTTGGACAAAAAATAAATTATCTATATTTAAAATCTAATGGTAAGGAGAATTGGTAACATATAGAAGATATTTATTTCAAGGCACTTGGAAAATCTTCTTTCCATCAATGAATTATGATTCAAAATCATTATGTTGTGAGTTTGACCTTGTATTGATTGTTTGGTGGTTTTTTAGAACAATAGTTATGTTATAGGAACGCAAGTATATGTTATATTTTATAGTTTCAATTGTTGGATATCTTGATAACATTATGAAAGTTTCTCTAAAGTTACTGATGGATTAGTACATTGAGTTCTTATGGTTTGCAAAATTTGTTTGAATAAAACACTAATTTTAATGCTAGATATGAAAATATTAATGCATGTGTTTGTTTTTATATATTTTGATAAAACACTAAACTGACATCAACAGAGAAGTGCAAAGAAAAGAAATGATCCCAACAAGAAGAACAAGTAGGAAAAAGAGATTATATTTTTATTGAAAGTTAAACCCTTCAAAGATTTCAAATTAAGCTTTCAAATACAGATTTTTGAAAATTGCCTGAAGATTGACTTTACTGGGGCATCCCAACGATGAAATCCCAATGAGGAATGAAAAACTACTAAATATTTTATGGAAATGGTCATTAATTCTGATGCAAAACTTTGTCTAAGGGTTAAACATTTTTCATACAGTTTCCCATTTATTATGAATACAAAAACTAGGGGTATATCCTATTACATTGTGCAAAAATCTATGATTTGAGGTGGACAATGCTTGAACTTTCTTCTTGATGTCATATTGGAACACCAATATTATTGACAGTTTACCTATCTCCTTTCTGATCCCAAATCCGCTGGCCGTATTCTTATCAGGATGGTTTAAGCACCTTTCCCTTCTTGGCAATTTAGATCCTTCAGTACCATTTTATTCAACCCCTAATGGTGAATCCCTCTGAATCTTTTTTTATCTCCTTGCTGTTGACATAGGAATAAATATGAGGTATGTGTTTATTACTAGAATGAATAGGAAGCCATTTTCCTTTTGCCTCTTCGGAGATATCCTTTTTTCTCAAGATGTCAGCTTTCTATTACGTCTTTCAACAAATTGATCACAATCTTTAAATTTGAGATAAAGCTTTAACTATCTCTATTGATTTTCATTTTAAAAATAGAGTTCTTTAGACAAGAATGATGTCAATGTAAAATACTGATGTAGAACATCTGATCCAAGAAAGGAAAATTTAAAGAACATAGAAAATCATGGAAGTGATTTAAATTTTAAAGCAGGAGTCTAGTTTGGAAATTTAGTTGATGACAATTAAGCCTTAAAATGTTTACAAGTGACAAGTTGAATGTCAAGCCTGGGGATAGATGGCTACAATTCTAAGCCTAAGTACAATGGCCCACGATTCTAGGCCTCAGCCTATAGCCAATGTACCTAGCACCAAGCCAGGCCAATGGTCTAATTTAGCCTAGATGCGAAAGTGCTTCGTTCTGTTACAACGCAGGAAGTTATTTCTATGGTAGGATGACTTTTTACTTAAACCCTCATGAGTATCTTAGTTTATGCAGAACAAACACTTTAAAATAGGTGGCTTGTTCGTGTTGAACACCAATACTCATCCGACACTTCTCAACACGTGTCGAACACACATTCAAAGGTGTTTTATTAGTTTTAATTATAAACTAACACTTTAAAATAGGCGGCATGTTTGTATTGGACACCAATACTCATCGGACACTTCTCCACACGTGTTGAACACACATCCAAAGGTGTTTTATTTAGGGTTGGGCATAGGGTTATCCGACTTATGAAAACCGCCCACCTGATCGGACCTGCACTTGTTTGGGTGGTTTCGAGGGTTCACTACGGTCGGACGTGGTTCAAGATATGCCTATTTTGCAGGTTGAAGGTCGGTCGCGGGTTTTACCCGCACCTGCCCGCACTTCATACAAATATATATTTTTTAAATTCTGGACTGTCAGATTAGATTAGATTTTTTGCTTCCAAACCCTAATCTTCTCTTATCTCAGCAGCCTTTCCTCTCACTCTCACTCACTCTCGTTCTCTTGCTCTCACATCTCTCTCTCTCTGTCTCTCTCTCTCTATGTGGTGATCAGCATCAGCAATCGGCAGTGTTCAACGGCCGGCGGCTGCAACACCTTCGGCAAGGAGTAGAGTAGCCTCTCATCTCTCTTACTCGTTGAGGTCAATTTGCTCTTTCTGTCCATTTGTTTTGTCATGAAAGCAAAAAAAGAGTTGATTCGGTCCAAAAAAAAATTGATTCGATCAAAATGTTCTATTTAATCCGAAAAAAGAGTTGATTTAGATCAACAATCACTGGGAAGGTCTCAAATTTTGCAATTTCGGACAAATTGGGGTTCTGATCAGGGCACTAATTGTGGATTGAGGAGGTGAAGTATAGTTTATTGTAGGGTTTTGTTGGAGTGACTCTGTAATTGTAGGTGAAACAGTTATGGGTTTTTGCCGTTATTGAGTGTTTGATCTTCATTGGGGAAGGCTTTTGATATTGGGTTTTGGTCATAGAGTAGAGGTGATGGTTCTGCGTTGGCTAATTAGGCAAACCAGAAGATCTTGTTTTTAATTTTACTAGTTTTAATTCATTAATTATTGATGCTCTAAAGTAATAGTTTATGAATTTATATATGTTTTTGAATGATGTGGATAATACACAAGTCTAAAAAAGATTATGTAAAAAGTAAAAAAATAACAAAGAATTCATTTATCAAACTTGCTCATACTATATAGTTTAGAATTATTTATGTTTGTCTTTTTATGGCCCACAAGAATATTTAGAAAATGGGGGGAAAGTCCCCAAAAATAAATTTTTAAAGGAAAATTTCCAATCCGCAAACCGCTCTCAATTGCCCTTACACCCGCGAACCCTATCCGTACAAATCATGAACCGCACTATTGGCGGTTGCGGGTTCGCTTTTTCCCAAACCACAAACCACCGGGTGGGTCCAACCCGCAATCCGAGCCACACAAAACCAATTCGTGAGCACCCCTTTTATCATTTTTAAATTTTTTTAGACCTAGACACATTTTGGACATTTGTGGAATACATGTGTTCATCATTATACATATGAAATAACTAACAAGTTTGAACAAAATAATTTGAGATTCAATGATCGATTGACCCAACAGTAAAAGCTGGTCGTTAGTGTCCTAGTGGCACAAGTTCGAGTCACAAAAATAGCTTGTGCACTAGGTCACTCTTTTTAATTCCTCATTTTTTAAACTGACAATTACTGTTATGTTATGTTCCAATTTTTATTTTAAATTTTTTATAAAAAAATTTCAGTTATTTGGTATGTTTTATTCTCTTTGAATAAATATAAAACTATATATTTTGAAGGCGATTCCTTCATCTCCTGCTAGGTGTGCTGATTCTAGATTTATCCTATCTCCATTTTGTTAACCATATATTCCTTAACACAGTCTTTGAAGCTTTTCTTGCATCAGTTTGGTATTAATGCTCTGGATTTCCGCAAAATGTTTTACATCATCTGAGATCTTACATTCCTAGGTTGACAGGAGGATGAATGGATGACTCAGCTGATTGAGTGACTGCATTAGAGAATAAGCAGCCAAAAGTTCAATTCTTGTCAGTCATGATGAGTGCATAAAAAAATAAATTGGCAAAATCCATGCTAATACTTCGTGATAGAGGAGGCTAAATTCATAAAAAAGGATGACCTTGCAATCAAAGAAGAGGTTGACATATACTTAATTTATAGCTTGTACTGTTAACTGTATGCTTGCTTTTTAACTAATTTGTGTTTCATACATTTAATTGCTTCCACAGTTGGTGTATTTTGCATACATTTTTACCTAACATGCACCGTATTTTGCTTATGCTTGCACCTTATGCTATGCCTCCCAGCACCTTGGTGCCTTAGTACCTTGCGCCTTTGATAATTATGACTCAGCAAAGAAGAAAGGCATGATGATATATAAAGGAAAACACCAGATAGCTTTGTCCTGGCTATTGGTTTTCATACCTACTCCCTTACATTACACGGTGCCGATCACTTGGGTCGTCATTTGTGTTTTACAACCACTTAAATGGATGTGGCCACCTCTCACATCATGAGGTCATAACAAACCTAACTACAATTTACATAAAAAGTAAATGATGGTTTGAATCAAATATAAACCACGAAAGGAACTAACGAATACTAGTACTCTAGGGTACATTGGATTGATTGCAAATTTTCTTGACTTGTTGCTTAGCTCTGATTTTAGAAATTATATGTTTTGATGAACATTTTCTTCCCCAGGCTTTGGATACTTTTAACACAGCAGTTGTTTCTCCAATCTATTATGCTATGTTCACATCCCTCACAATTTTTGCCAGTGCCATAATGTTCAAGGTATTTTTAAAGATTTACATATTCAAATGCTTTTGGCCTCATCTAATGTAAAATATAATGTAAGATTTCTGCTATTTGTAGGATTGGTATGGTCAGAGTGCTAGCAGTATTGTATCGGTGCTTTGTGGATTCATTACTGTGCTTTCAGGTACTATGGTTCTTCACAGTACAAGAGAACCAGATCCACTTCCTGTTACAGGTAAAAGCATGCAAGAAAAAACATATCAAACGGATACATGCATCATGGTTGGCTAGAGGGTGCATGGGCTTTGCATGTGTTAGTTTTGAGTCTTTTGACTCTCTTGAGACTGTATTCCTCCTGTGTTTGTGAAGTTCAATTATTGCTCTATTTTGTTTCCACCTGTGCATTATCAAATTCATGCCGAAATAAGCATACAACTTGTAGGGTAATTGGGTGCCCTTAACAATATTAGGTTAAGTACATCCCCTAGTGTTTCAGATGTGTTTTTGCTGAAGCTTGATTTTGTACCGAACAGCTGCGAAATCTTTTTGAGTCAAGACAACCAACACTTGGTATGTACAACAAAATAAATTAGACAGTTCATATCACTAAACCTCACACATGGTATATCAAGGGTTAATTAAAATAAAAACCATAAATAAATAAAAATGCAGAATCTTCAATTATTACTTTATCCAATGCCTTTATGTTCCTTATCATTTTGTGGAGGCTATCCCAGGCAGTTACTCTGATTGTTGGAAATCCGATTTTCACATAAAGAGATGTATTGTTCTCTTTGTTACTTCTAGTAGTAGCCAACGCAATGGTCTATTTTATGGTTGGGTTTTCATTGCCTTGCATGAATCTGAACTTCGGTGGATTTTAGTTACTAAAGCAATTATTTTAAGAACTAATTTATTTTATAATGTGCAGATTATTCATCACTTTCTCCTCAAATATCCTGGCTTATCCATGCCAATGGTGAAATTTGGAAGCAAAAAGATGACAATGATTTGCACTCTGAATTTATTGGAATAATTCGGCAAGATCATTTCAAGTAAAGCCAATATGTCTTGGATATCGGTCTCTCAAAAGCAGCCCAATGCAGGTTCTACGAACTGGTGCATAAAAGCTACATATGAAGTACACCAACGGTAATATTGACTGGTGTTATCAGTTTTCAGATCCGTTTTGGTTCATCAATTTAAACAGGTTAAGAGGGTCAATGGTCGATTGTGCATGCCAGATTTTGTAATGGTAATGGTTTTTGTTTCTCCCCCCCTTTTTGAGAGTTAAATTGTTTAGCTTTGTTCTTTGCTATCGGGTTTAATCAGAACTAGTTAGTTGTTTAATTTTTCTAATTTATTCTTTTGTTTTTGCCATTACTTTGTTATCATAGGTTCATCTGTATTATTTTGTACAAGTCAGGCCATGGGCACGGGGACTGTAAGAATTGTCAGACCCTTTGCTTTTCTGTGAAGAGCATTGTGTTTTTATTTTTAAATCAAATAACTTTCGCTTGTTTTGCAGCGCTTAAAAGTGCTTACCGTCATTTAATATTCTAGTTTGGAAAACAGGCTTGAATGGCATTTTGCATTGCTAGGAGGTCTATATATGGTTTAATGTTTGTGATCGAGTATATATATGTGAATATAAATAAACATTTCAAAGTGATTGAACAATGCTATTTATGGAGATTTTTATTTTGTTAATGCTCCCCGAGCGTTGCTCCATTGTCTTTAGGAACTATATAATTGCGTGAGATTAACACCTAAATTTTAGAGTACACGTAACCGGGTGATTTGCAGAGACATTAAGATAGTATTGTGAGAGCACACTGTAGACACGAATTTTGAAACTTTGAAACGTGAAATGTTTTAACATATTTTAAAATTCATATTACAAATGTCTACTGTTTAATTTTTGGAGTAAACAGTGTTGATTATTTGAATAGTTGGTTTATATTTTCGATCTGCATTTTAGATCATTAATTATACATTTTATTTAAATGAAACTTCCATTTAATGAAGAACAAAAAATTAACAGAAAACAAATTAAGAAAAAGAAATAGTTGGGTTTGTAACCTTTTACCTAACGTTCACCATCGTATAACATGTTTGCAGTGTGGTGTAAGCTCTCAACTTCTTTTTGTAACGACGTTTTAAGCTTTTAATTTCTCTCTCTCTGATTTTCTAACTTCTGATTTTTTATCCCCTTTTTGTTTGATGATCCCTCATATTTATAGAGAGTCATTCAAATGATAAGAGGGTCTCATCCTCAATTTGAATTTCAAATTAAATTATAACACCATTTGAATTTTGAATGGCAATGCTGTTTGAATTTAGGCATAATCATATATGATTAACCATTTTGATGATTTGGACTTTATCGTGTATGGTATCCTTGCTGTAGGCTCTATAGGTGTAATCTTTTGTAGGTTGCATGTGTCATAATGTCACTGAGATATGACATCGTGTTAATTATGCACTTAAGCAGATCAAGTTGATCATTTTAGGAAGTGATTACCTACGATAATCTTATCATAGGCGCTATTTGAAACTTAAACGAAAGAAAAATGCTTCCTACCCCCAGCTGGGGGTGACACCCAGTGAGGTGTCAGCTGGGGGTTGGAAGGAAAAAACAGTTTTTTTTTTTTTGATTTTCGACCAGTGGGGGCGCGCCACGTCATTGGGGGCGCCACCCCCACTGGGTGTATGGAGCATGGTTGTAAACGAAATTTATGTGTCAACATACACAGTAATTTTTTTTGTATTTATGATTTGATAAATGTACTTTTGGATAAATATGAGTACAATTTTGTGGGAGGAAAGTCAGTCGACTTGGCTGCTGCAGAATTGTGGGCTATTTGGGTGGGACTGCAGATAGCTTGGGAGGAAGGATTTCGTTTTATTGTGGTAGAATCAGACTCCTTAGCAGCATTGCATGCTATGCAAACCTTGAGCAAGGTGGAACTGAATTACAATCTTTATCAAGGCGTCATTGAATTGGAAATGCGAGCTCCACAGGGTGTGGCGAGAAGCCAATGCATGGGCTGATTGTTTGGCAAAAAGAAGCCAGAAGACTGAAAGTTTAAATGGCAGATTCTTAGGAGAGCCCCAGAGAGTCTCTCGCTAGACGATTTTCAGTGGTGTTTTAGCTTCACTCAGGCAACACTCCGGCAACTTCTTTCATTCTTCTATAAAGTGTAGATCTACACTTTTAGAGTATAGATTTGTAGTTTTAAAGTGTAAATATGAACATTTTATATCTGAAATGGGGGTTTCGGGAGTTTTTTTCTCCGATTTTGGCATACATTTTTAGATTTTCGATACCTGCAATAATGGTTCTCTTCTCTCTCAAGCTTTCTCCCATACTATTGTGGCTGTATTTCCTTCTCAATTCTAGCTTTTGAATGTGACTGAAGTCTGGTGGTGGTAGTAGTAGAGTTAGACAGTAACAACGGGGACGGCGTCAACAGGACGGCGGACTTTCAAGCAAATCTTGCTTTTTAGATCGCATATTTGAGAAGATTGGTGGTTTTTCTTAGATTATAGTTGGTTTTTTAGCAATTTTTTTTTTTTTATTTGTTTGTTTGTTTTTTTTTTCATTTTGTTGTTTGGTTGGAATGGTCATTTAAAGTCTTATTTATGTATGTTATTATTTATTAGTATAAATATTTCCCATATTCTCAAAAAAAAGAAAAAGGGGGGGGGCGGGGTTTGTTTGAAAGATTCTTTGCTACTCTCCGTTGTCGTGATAGCTTTTGGATAGCCGGGGAGTTGGTTCCCTTCGTGTCCCTTCTTTGTAGTCCCCGTCCCAAAATAATAATTCTTTGGAGATTTTAATTTTTTTCAGTAGTACAATTATTATATTTTAAAATAATTAATTTTTTTAAATTACCTTTTGATAGTACATTTTTTTGAGAATATTAATTATCATAATTGTACTTTTTATGTTGTTAATGAATTTAAAAGAAAAGCAAAATAGAAAATTTATATTATTTTTGTCCTTAATTTTTGAAAATCGACTAATAGTTTGAAACGATGAAAAATAAAATAAGGGACTAATATTTTGAAACGGAGAAAGTAATTTTTCTTGCAATTGGGCTTGGCCCCCTTTCCAAAAGAAAAAAGAAAAAAGAGAATATCATATTTTTGACTTTAATAAGAATATGAAATTAAATAGGTAGAAAAAATAGAAAAGCTTGTTAAGAAAATATGTTGTTCATAGCAATCAAATTTTAACAAGCTTTCCCATAATATATATATATATATATATATAACAAGCTTGTAATGTTTTGGATCTCTCTCTCTCCCTCCGTTTATTTATTTATATTTGTATTTTTTTATTATAAAATCTGTGGGTGTTAATTTACAATCACACATCCAAAAGGGGAACTCAGCTAGAGAGTACAGATAAAATAGAAAGAGCTAACCACCTATCAACAAGAAGATGGAAATTCTGCGGTGGTTCGTCCACTTGGAGACACTTCGACGATCAAGTTAGTAAAACTTTCTCTCTTACAAAAGCAAATAGTACTTAAATTCACCAGAAAGAACTTACCTCAAACCCGCCTTACTTTTATAACCAGCAGTAACCTGATCCCTTAGAAGCCTTACCCCAGTGGACTCAAGCTCAATGTTATCTTGGACTCTCGGCTAAATAGGGATAAACTCTTCTTGAGCCTTATCCTTATCCAAGCTGAGATCCTCTCCTGTTCTAAGACTTTTGTCCTTTATCCAGATACCTCGGGATTCCGACATTATCACAGAATATCTCGGCAATGCCGTGATCACCTTGGCAACATGACTCATCCACGTGGCACCTTAGCCGACATCTCGGGCTATCTTGTCCACGTTGCGTCATTTGCAAAATACTTCCCCACAAAATCCTTAAACTCCTGACCAGTGTAACCATTTGTTGGGAGAGAGCAGCTAAGGTTTATTTTGATATACGGTTAAAAGTTAATTTTTTGACTTTTTAATTTTTTTAGATCACATTATTTTTCTATTTTTTGCACGTTTTTTCAAAAAAAAGTAAAAAAAATTTCAAAAGTTAGCTTTTAAAGTTTCATTAAAGTATTATAGATTGTTTGATTACTAATTTCGTGTGGTACAAAATTCTTTGTTTAATTTTTTTTTCCGTCTCTATATTCTGAAATGTTTTTTTTAAAACTATAATATATATATATATGTATGTATGTATTTAATTTAGATAAAAATGTGTATCATATACCAGTTACAACATTTACGAGATTGATCACCACAAACATCATAACTCAATCCTATGGGTCATAATTAAAAAAAAAAAAATTGAATTAAAACTAAATGCCACATAAAGTAGAATTAAAGAACTTTTATATCATAATCAAAATAATATCTGTTAGCACTATAAATCTGCAATTTTTATTATTATTTATTATTTATATAATTGCAAGACATGTAGCATCCTCCTACTCATTTGGAGGTTATGAGAAGTTATGAAATGTGAAAAGATGATGGAGAATAAAGTGGAGAACATGGAGCATGAATTGGAGGTTAAACGAAGTTATGAAGACATTGAGGGATATGTGGCATTATGGGAATGAAGATGGAAGAGTGGGTAGTTTTAGGTAGATATTGGGTAGTTATTGCTGGAAGTTTTTTCCTACAAATATTTGCCTATAAATAGCCATTCATGGCTACATTGTAAAGGATTCAGAATTCATAATCAAAGACAATTGATTTTAATATTTTTTGTCATTTTCCTTATCTTAGGAGTAGTTTAACATAGATTTATATTTCGAAGTATTTATTTTTAGCAGTTCCTTTTCAAAGCATTTTATGCACTTCATTTTCGAAGCATAGGAGTAGAGGTAAGTAATTATTACTTTGATTGTTCACTTAATCGTCTTTCTCTGTCTCCCTCTTTTTTCTTTTAATTTTTCTTTTCTCTATACTTGGCAATTTTGAAGTCTTCTTCATTGAGACAGAAGAACCGTCAACGCAATCGTTTAATAATTGGCTTGAATTTAATTTGTAAGGATTTTTCAATCCTTGCTGGCAAGCTCGCATTTATAATATTTTTCTTCGTAGAAAAAATAAGCCAACATTTTTTGACACACCTAGTGGGATTGCCAAGTGTAAGAAATGACAAACGATTTGGATTTCACCATTCGAACTTGTCAATATGAAATATATTGGCGTGAAAGAAAAATTTTGGATCTTTAAGAAAAGATTCATTTTCTTGATGAAAAAAATTTCCAAGTTGTTTCTTCCTTACCAAGTTATTTGGTAAAAGAAAAAATACACCACTTAATTGGAGTAACTCATCAACTTGATGTAGAAATTTGCCAATGGAGACATGAGTTATTAACCCTTTTTGTCAAGTCTTTAATGATTGAATTTTGTGGGATTTTACAAAATATTTTTAAGTCATTTGTGACTAAAATTAATGAAAATATAATTTCATCAATAGCTCGAGGGGTTGAAAAATCCATTTTTAAAAAGCCAACTTGTGAAAATAACTTTGATAAAAAGCATGTTGTTGAGCCATGCATGGTTGAAAATGATG